CAGGATATGCAGGTGGGTTTCATTCACACACACAAGGCTTCATGACATGACAAGGAGCTGGCGGTGGGGCACTGATGCTACAGGAAAGCGCTCATTTATCCAATGTAATCAAGGGAGGAAATTCGGGCGCCTTGATGCGTTGCCGATCAAACAGATCCGAATCTCTGGTCGTAGATGAGATTTGTTGGTTGGCTCTACGATGGCGATGATGCTGCAGCCTGGCCGCAGAAAGAAGACCGGAGGGTAAGCCACGAGCGGCTCCTCTAACACACGTACAGATGGCCATACTGCCGCTGTCTCGACGGGCTTCGCGCTTTCCGGGTGGGTGCACTGTGACGGGGCCACGATGCCTCGCATAACTCCTTGCATATTTTCTCCTGGGAAGCTGCCCATGTTAAGCAAGCCCGAGCATGGGTAGCTAAAGGCCGCGGACTGTCTTGGAACCCCGAGATGCCCGCTTGACAAGATGTGACAGGACAAAAATTCACAGCTGGACCGCCGTATATGGCTGATCAGAGTCCCGGGCTTTGGAGCTCTGGTCCCTGATGTGCCGGCCGGCAACCAATGAAAGGGGTACATTTAAGCTTAAGCGCCAGCCAAGAGGTTTGACGTTTCGAAATGCAACCTTAAAAAGGATCCACGATTTCTTCGGACCCTCGTCTCCCCATAGCGGAATGCATACCGGGAGTCCGACGATGTGTCCGTGTGCATATACGTACGCCCAAGTCCCGTCGCCAAGGAGCCTATTGGAGCTCAATGAAACGGTGAAGATGTGCTGACACCGGGGGGTGTCAGCGCAACAAGCTGCAGCTGAGAGAAAATCGGACCAACGCAACCCAAAGAAGCTTGCGCAAGGGCTCTGCGGAATGGATCACTTTTGGGTAGCTAGGATCAAGACCTTTTCATGGGATATCCTGGCCTTTCGGGCTTCGGCCAAGGAGACCGCGCAATGGGAAGTATCGTTGTACTCTTCACCCCAGGTATATAGTCGAATTACATACTAGTAAATTGAAAGTAAATCAGAACAGGCAAGAGTAATGAAAGTCAGAGAAGAGATGGGTTCCATCCGCCCTCCCGGCGGTCCTGTCCCCGAGAAAATGTACCAGGCTCAATCATGAGAACATGTTTGGCCATGTCTATGCTAATCACTAACAAATTGTCTCGATTAATTATACCAAGTCTAACCGGATGTTCTTGCTCAGAATAATGAATCTGTAATCTGATCCCAAGCCAACCAATTCTCAGCGCACACTAACAATAACCATTTCGCCCCTTATCCGTGCCATCTTCCAAGAGATCGTTCCAAGGCATCATATCCTGTAGTATTTCCTCACCCATGTCGGCAATGACAAGCCGTTCTCCTTTGGGAGTTTGGATCTTTCGGTGCACTTCACCAGCAGGGCGCCACCAAGCCTTTCTTGAAGCGGTAGTACATGACGCTCATTGATCTACTGTCGGGTGAGCAAGACATTTCGGGAAAGGAGATCAGTTGGTGATGCAACACTCGCAACTGGACAACCCCTAGTTTCACTCGGACGGAGCATCCCCAAACAGCTTCTTACATTCAAAGAAAGTCCTCTGAGCAAGTATCAATAGTTTTTGGTACTTTGGTACACAGTCATAAGCAAGGTGTTGCCACAGATGTGACAGTCCCGGTGGTCTCCACGATCCGTGTAGAATATGCAACCATCCTCGCTATTAATGTTGGGGCGATATCGATATCACCGAGGTTACAGTAGCACCCAGTCCGTTGGAATGGGACTCTTACTACATACGCGATTTAAATATGATGACACTGAATGTCACATTCGCCTATAGTCCAAGTATCCAAAGAACATATCAAGGTTGTAATTGGAAAACTGGGTTACATCCATCCCTTGTTTATCAGCAAAATCACACCATCTCTTGCAGTCGTCGAGTGTCGTCTAAATCTAAAGTTCCAGCTCAGTGTACTCCTGTCGCTTAGCAAGATAAGCATCGGCAATCTGGTCAAGCCATGCACCCATTCTATAACCAGCACGGGCGACCTGTTTCTCAATCACGGGACCGGCCGCTTTGAAGTAGTCACCTCCCAGCTCCTGGCCAACAATAGCCTTGGGTCCCTCGGGGAAGACTGGAATTGGTTTTGTTGTTAGCCATCATCTTCCTTCAATAGGTGTATCGCAGCTTGAACTTACCATGCGTGCACACGAGGGCATTGCACTCCCTTGACCAGGCCATAGCAGTGGAGATGGGGTCCTTGTAGTCCAAATCCTTCAGCCAAACCTCCTTTTCCGGAGTGAACTTGCCATCGGTGATTTCAACCGCGAGCTGATTTGCCCACTTCAGAGCAAGGTCGTAAGGTTTGCCGTGCAATCCGCCGATCCATTTCTCAGCAATGGAGCTGTCCCAGACGTGATGCAAATTGTACCCACGGCCATCCCACAGCACGTGGAGACGGTTCCCTCCTAGAGCAACATCCTCGTTATGGAGAGGCTGGTGGAGGTCACCCACGAAATGGATCACAAACTTGGCAGCCTGCGCACGCTGCCAATCTGGAAGCGCGGTATCAACCACCTGCTCGGTGTAATTGGCCAGCGCATTAATCACACATCCCGTTTCCTTGCAATCACGCTCAAAGTCCACATTACAGCTTCTGGGCGGGTCGTCGTGGGCATCGATGAAATGGAACGTCTTGGTAAATCGCCCCCATTTCGTGTATCGGACCGAGTCGGCCCAGCTCGCCACCGAGGCTAGATAATCGGCGTTGTCGTTCTTGAGCAGCTCCTTAAAGACTGCTTCGGTGGTGTTGGAAACAAAGTGGCTCGCGAGGTAGGCGGTCGTGATATGGCCCAGACCTGGTTACAATAGTGTCAATGTCGGCTCTCGCCTGAGAAGCTGAGGGGGCAAAGGCACTTACTTCCCCAGGCAGAAACACCTGGTGCGGACAAGAGGCCAAGGGCCAGCGCGGCACCGGCCAGCTTCATGTCAGCGGCGCTGAGTTGCTGGTTGTATTAGTTGTAAGCGAGGGTGTCGAGCGCAGCAGCGTAAGTAAGGTTGCACACAGGAAGAAGCTGAGGTGGGCAAAGCAGGTCACGCAAATGGGCTTGGAAAGTATAGAATGACTGAGATAAATAATAACTACAGCTTATGGAGCATTATTATATAAGAAGCAAGAGCTCGTGACCTTCGCGCTCAGCCTCAGACTCTGATGATTCAGGTTGAGAGCGTGTGCGGCATTCGGTTGGTTCACGGAGTTGCCTGGAGTAACAAGGGAGCAACCTTGCTGTGGCCAATCAAAAGTGCAAGATCTGCCCCACGTGAATCTACCGAAACCACTACTCCGAAAGAAGACTAGACTTATCATGTGTCCCCGCTATGACCGAAGATCTGGGGCGAGTCTGGTGCCTGAGCCTGTTTCCTGTCATTGCACCCTCGACATGCCTCGCTTTGGTGCTCGCAGCCTTCCTGATCAGTAAAGAAATAGAAACATCACCGGAATTCTGCATCATTCATACTTCATCACGGCTGGATAACTCATTCAGAGCTAAGTCTTAGTAAAAGAGTGCCCGCAGCTCAAGTGAACCAGCCTGTGATTGTAAGTAGAAGCGAACTCAAGGGTCCTCCATTTTCTTCTTTTTCTTTCGATTTCACTTGAAATTATACCGTTCCAATAAGCTCGCAATGTCGTGACGCCACAAGAAGTATTTTCCAGGTCCCGTATCTACAGGCAATGCAGACCCAAACCCTAAATACGCGAGAGTGTTCAAGACGGGCCGCGGGCGCCATGCATAAACGTTACACAAACTAAGAGAAAGGAGTAATCCGAGCTGATAGTTGAAAATTGGCTAAGCTTTCATGCTGACGGAAAAAACTAGTGTTCTGCATTTTTTATCCTTTGATGATGCCCCAAGTCGCACTAGAACTACCTACCTAAGGTAGGAAATACTTGAACCCTCCGACTTATATTAGAACCTCATCAAGCAATCTTTAGCCCATGTCGCCGCCAAAGGGGTGTTTTTTTTTTCCTTTCAAGATTCACACTATTATGTTGAGTACGTAATCCTCGCTCTCAGAATTGGAGATGGGAGACTGGGAGGTAATATATGTATATATATCGTTTCTCAAAATTAAGCATCATCATCTACCATACCATACGTAGGTTGAAACCTCGAACAATCCACTCTTGAGTGAGGTCGAGAGTATCCCTTGACGACGGCGCGCAGCCTCCAGAATCTCATTGGGAGAGATAATTAAGTCTCACTTCGCGGTCCTTGGATTCCTTCTGCATCTTAAACTTTGTATGAGGAGCGATAAGTAGTTCTCCATCAAAGTGGCTATATTCCTGATGCAGGTCACAGGCTGCTGGCAAGCCAAGCCCCTTCAAGCAAATACATCCCGATTTAACGTTTATAATTCTGGGGCCGATATGTACCATGAGGTACGACGAACCACAAAACCGGGAGGGTTGCAATTGCATCACCATGCGTTCTGGAGGAAAAAAAATCTAACGATAGGTTGAAACTCGACGCTTGGTTCCTCGGGCAGATTCACATTTGTGTCAATGGAAGCACCGACACAGCTCCTGAGATGGATACAGTCGCGCCGAGGAACGGAGCATCTCCAGTCTAGCAGCCGCCCCCTGTGACATAGGTCATACGGCCTATGACAGAGGCGGTACCGGCGCCTCTTTCTTATCTACTAACCCAAGGTGGTCATCCGCCCCCACCAATGACACACCTCGAGCCAATGCAAACAAGGATTTTCCAATCATCCACTGATAAGGATTGTGGCCGTGTGACTACCTAGTCAAGATGTAGGTCTCAGCCAGCCTCTAGGCGATTCTTCCTTCCTCTTTCCTGACGGGCCAACACAGACAAACCTGTTGACATTAACCTTCCCGGAGGATTGACCGTTTTCCCTTTCAAAAGACACGCTCGCCGCTACCATTCCTCGCCTCTGTCGTCTCTCTTCCCTGCTCCTATTCTTCACAGCCTCGAATCAAGGCGCTTTTCACGACCATGGCTTCGTTCCTCGCCTCCGCGGCCTTGTCTGCAACGACTCACCCTCCCCCTCTCTCCCAAGCCATTTCTGGAATATTCGGAAGCATCAGCTTGGTTGCTTGGATATGCGTTATTGTAAGCTATACCACACGAACAGAAACTGACCGAGCCATGTGGTTAACGCAGCTGCCAATTAGCTTCCACAATTAGTCGCCAATTTCAAGGCGAAAAGTGCCGACGGTCTCAGCATGATGTTCCTTATCGTCTGGGTATTGGGTGATGCAACCAACTTGCTCGGTATGTTGAGCGCCATCCTCTTGATAACGAACTTGTCCAACCCGAGCGTGTTTCTTCCCATTTCGGCCGACCCCTCAGCGCAATCTCTTGGCGTCTATCACGGCTGCAACTGTTGCATTGAAATCTAACAAGATTGCCTTGTAGGTGCCATATTTACACACCTAGCCCCGACTGCGATCATACTCCCCAGCTATTTCGTTTTCGCCGACTTAGTCCTGATCCTACAATGTGTATACTACAATACTCGAAACAAGCGACGTGCGTCACACTCCCACCGCGCCGAGGTTGCACAGGTTTCTGAAGAGTCACCGCTCCTCCGTCGTGAGTCCGTTCACGAGGCGCATACCGAACGTACAAGGAAGCATTCACGCGATGAGACTGAGACTGGAACTGCCAGCCAGTGGGGATCCAACATCGCCAGCTTGGTGGCTGTCTATGTTGTTGGCATTGCAGCGTGGTTCATTTCCTACAAGGCCGGCGCATGGGACTCCGGAGATGATAAGACACCTTCTCCTGACGACGAGGGCCAAAGCCCACTTGAAATTGCTGGTCTCACTCTCGGCTACATTAGCGCCGTGTTTTATCTATGGTGAGCATGACGACACTGGAATGGACTTCGAAAATGATCATCGACTGACACCTCTACAGTGCTCGAATTCCACAAATTCTCAAGAACTACCGGGAAAAGTCATGCGAAGGTAAGCTCCTGCTCATGTCTGGCAGCAAAGGTGGCTCACACACTAACGATGGTCATCTAGGACTCGCCATTCTGTTTTTCATGCTCTCTTTGACCGGCAACTTGACGTACGGAATCAGTCTAGTCTCGTACAGCCAAGAGAAGAAATACTTGCTCAATGCTCTACCGTTCCTGATCGGTTCGATTGGCACCATTGTGGAAGACTGTATAATTTTTGTCCAGTTCCAACTCTACTCCGGTGGCAAGCGACCCCATGCGGTTTCTCAGTAGGCCAGTGGGCGGCGATAATGGAGGAAGAAGTGTCCGGAATCTAGCCTGCGACGACAAGTTATGAATGGGAAAGCGGTGGATTTTGCGATCTCTCGCGGATGTTATACAGGTTTGCACATTTGCATGGAAGGCGTTCTATTGATTTGCGATGGATAATCAGGGATTGCATTATTGTTTTAGATCGTTGGAAAGGAGTCGGAAAGTCGTCTCCCAGGACGCTATCTACCCTTTGATATTTGGTTTGCCATACTTATAGAATACATTGGTTAGTGTACGGCACAATACCTCCGATGTTAACCATTATCCATTAATTGGCACCCAACGCGTCAAACAAATTCGCAAGAGCCAGTAACCATTTCGCGGCAACTAAGCAACCTCGTTATCGTTTTGCCGGTCGCAAAAGCCCTCGCAGCTGCAGCGTCGATTCGGAAGAGAGACTTTGAAGATAGTGAGTGGGAGAATAAGAAAGCTCTTGTCAAGAACATAACGGCCATTGGCTACTGTATTGGAGATATGGACAGTGACTGCGGATTTGAATATGCGAGAGAGTTAGAAAATGGAACAAAGAATATAGAAGGAAAGTTGTTCATGACGCTGGTTGTCTAAGAAGCAAGGCACTTAAGCTGGTGGCTCAGAATGCTGAAAATTTTCTAGAAAACTTATTCTCTTTACAAATACTTCTAATAGAAGCATTTATATCCAACTTGTGAGAGTTGTTGTTGAATAAATCGAACAAACTCTTCAATGCGCTGCTCGTAGGTGGTGCTTGAAATCGCTAAAGTGACGTCGGTACGTACCGCGAACTCACCACTTCAACGCCCCGACTCCAACCTCGAGCAAACGCGTGAACGCGAACATCACTTATCCCCCCCAGTATTCATCATGGGGCCACCATCAAAGAATGGTTCCATAACAAGTTTTTTCAAGCCGGTACAGCAGCAGGCGCCCAAGATGCCTTCTTCTCCGGCAAAGCCTTTGGTCGCCAGTCCATCCACGTCTCCGCTCAGCTCGCCACCGGCTCAGGCATCCATCAATGTCGAGATCGCAGCGTCTGATGATGACGGTTGCGATGGAGCCCAAGATGATAAAATGGACTCGTCCGATGACGAGGATGAGCTCGAGGACTTCATGGCCAAATTTAATCCCAGGAAGAGCGCACCGCAAACCCCACCACGAAAGTCGTTTCAGACGCCTGGGTCGAAGAGGACAATGACAGGGCATTCATCCCCGTCACTTTCCAGCGATTCCAGACCGCAGTTCCTATTTGACATGAAGGCGTTACTGAGGGACTCGCTGCAAGATGAAGCGATAAACAATAGTTTCATCAAGGCCAAAGAATCCCATGAGGAAAGCCGACCTGACCAGCCTGCTGAAAATGGCTTGGATAAGGACCAGGTTTTCATGAACGTGGTTAAGGACCAGGGTGGACAGAATGCTCACAAACTCCTTCGAGCTGTTCAAAGAGCAGAGGATTCAGGTCCAAAACGTCCCCGGTTCTTCTTTTTCAAAACATTCCATACGCCTCCAGCTGCACCCAAGCCTCCCCGGGGCATCAAATCAGGCCCTTGGCGTCTGTTAGCAGATGAAGATGAGCAGACTCGCGAACAGTTTCTAACATCTGGTCTACCAATTACCTTGGCTCTGAAAGGTAAAGCCCTTCCAGAGGAGCTCTTCCAATGGATCTTGGATGATTTCTGTTGTAGTAAATCGATCCTAGTACGAGAAGAGTACTGTCGGTTGCTCTCCACCCACTCGGATCATATAGAGTCCCTGATTACCATCGAAAGACTAGATCAGCTATTCTCAAATCTCGGCTGTATTGACATTCCACGCCTCAAGCAGGATGTTCTCGAAACCTCAATGTCTGCAGAAGATTCATACACAAATCGCGACTGGTCCAATCTCCGATCATTCTTGGAACTTCTATCTCTACTATCAGGATACCTACCGGCACCGTCTCTTAGCCACGCCATCCAAATGCTCCTAAAGATGTCTGTGGACAAGTTTCTCATATGCAACATTGACCTTGTGGTTGAATATGAAAGAACAATTGAGGCTCTTCTTAATAAGTTACCGGATACATCATGGAATTCGTTTGTGAGCAAATTTCCCTCTATCCCCTATGTAAATCCTAGAAACAACATTCCTAATCTCAGCAGTGTCTACAAACTACCAAACTTCTATTCACTGGTTTTACAATCAACTCCCTCCGCCTGAACTCCCTTCTATGCCTTCCACTCAGCAACGAGAATGCGCGGAATCTCAGGCGCAGACTTGCTACAGCCTTTTTCTTCAACGATCCCAATCTTGGTGGCCGTGAACCCACAGACATCGTCACTGTCGAGCGCTGCATCACGCGTTTGAAAGAACCAGACTTGACGGTTACTCGGAAGACGGACTTCGAGGAGCTGAAAGCAAAGATCATCTTTCTTGACATAGCCATCGCCAGCGGCTCATTCTCCCCCTTTGAGAATGCAGAAAACGAGAAGATTTTCAATGAGCAGGTCGACGAACTCGCAGCCATTCTTGCCGCATTGACTCGGAAGATCAACGACTCGGGCATGAAGCTTTCTCGAGCTGAAGCCAAAAGCGTAATCGAATGGATTCAAAAGCGCATTTCCCTGTCAGTTCGCACGAAGCGCCAGAGAAAGGCGGATATATTCCAAACCCTGGATAGAGCCGAAGACCCCTCCATACCGCAACAGCGGGCGTACATGCAAAACTTCCTCAAAAAGGCCTAGCAATGTATCAGCTTTGAGGATAGGTCTTTTGATGTAAGCCACAGGATGAAGACAGCAAAAATATTTGCAAAACGGCGTATAGTAATGAATTCATGATACAACTTCTAGCTACAAATCGCAAAAGACACGGCGCACGTGCAGGTCTGAGTAAACAGGAAAAGCCCGATGTTCTCCGCTAGGCGAGAGCATGCATGTATAGAGGACCCAAGGACAGCTTATTTAGTCGAAGAATTTGCGGTTAGGATTCTTTCCAAACAGAGCCTCCCGCACAGCGGGGGCGGCAGAGTCCTGAAGAAGTTCCAGTCGAGCCTCAAAAGTGTTGTTAACATCAATCTTTCCATTGCCACCCACAATAACCACGCCGCCGGCCCTAGTTTTATTTGTCAGTATCAATTCGTCCCAAATTCGAAAAATATAAGGATCAGGAGCCAGAACGTACAGGCCTTCAGCAAGGGGCTGCGACTCGTCAAGTGTACCCTTGATATCCTTGCCAACCTCCTTCTTGTAGTCCTTCTCGGCCTCGGCGATTGCCTTCTTCACAACATCGAAATCTGCCTTTTTCGCGCGGACCTGGAGTTCTGGTTCGTGCAGTGCGTAGAAGCCTTCCAAGATGAGCCCACGGAGCGTCTTCTGGTACTTGGTCTTATCCTTGGCACCTTCAACAAGCTTCTTCTGGGCCTCGTCGAATATGCTGTTAAGGAGCTCTTGGCGGGCTCCCAGAACTTTGAGACGGGTTTGGTTCGAGACGGTGGAGCGTGTGATCTGCTGCGACATGGTTGCCTGCTTGAACTTCTTCTCGTACTGTGTATCGATGGCGTCGGTCTCCTGGCGGACAAGCTTGGACTTCTCGATCTCGAACTCCTCATTGGCCTTGATCTCGATCTCACGGGCCTTCTCCATAGCCTCCTGCCTGATGAACGCAGTCATCTTGCTGAGCTCATTGTTGACCTTGGGTTAGGACAGTCAGCAGGATGGCCCTCAAGCATTGGGGGGGCTGCGCAAAAGGATCGCTAGCAATTCGCGGCGTACCTGCTGGTCAGATAATGCGTGTTGAGACATCTTGGCGGAGGTGATGCAGGTATGTCCCTAGATGCGGAAATAGGAAAAGAACAAAAGAAGGATAAGGACTGGGCGTGAGGCGAGACCGGTCGAGGAGCACGTCGGCGTGTATGCACAAGGTGTGGTTAAGTGGAGTGCCGTCGCCGAGCTGCTGATGACGATGGAGCTACCTCTCCCGCATAAGGTTCATCAGCCTCAGGTCCCAGCGAACACGCACCAGCCACACATGCCTGCCAGGTCAAGCCACATTCTCCAATACTCCCTCTCAACAAATGCATGACGTCTGTCACCTGATCGCACCGCCACATGAATTCATCTTAAGCTTTCCCTGGCTGCATCCTTCAGGCTGAGGAAAGCGACCTTCCATCTGCAGGCATGGGCACGCTTCCAAACCTCATGTGATCGCTAGACAGTGCTATACCGACTTTTGCGCAATTTACCTTCGCTCTTCACCTCAATTATACTCGACTCTACATCCTTCACCGTCTGTGCGATAGCTCCTGTCGGTGACCGCGCGCCCCTGCCTAGCCCCTCTCAGCAAACACGAACTCGTTCGATAGCGCACGTCCAATTGAAGACCGTATCTCGAAGCTTATTTGCACCCATATCCTGTCATTTCTGCGGACACATATACTTGCCAACAGTTCCCTATGCGACGTCCAGGCCTCTTCGGTGCCAGATGACCACGGGTCTGGACACGGCGCAATGGTCTCCCTGGGTAGTCTCTCCCCTGGAGGGGGCATAGCCGTACGTCAACACAAGAGACCACATCTCCCTCCAGAAGCTCTACCGCTAACGTTATTATTTGATTCTTAGTTGGGCATCATCGTGGGAATATTATCGACCAGCGTTCAGAGTGTTGGGCTCACCCTTCAACGAAAGTCGCATATTTTGGAGGATGAGAAGGGGCCGCACGATATTCGCCGACCGCCCTACCGAAGAAGAAGATGGCAGGTGGGAATGGCCATGTTCCTCGTGGCCAATATTTTGGGCAGCTCGGTCCAAATTTCCACTCTCCCCCTTCCAGTCCTCTCGACCCTTCAAGCCGCCGGCTTGGTTTTCAACTCGATATGCGCTTCCATCATTCTCAGCGAACCATTCACGCGATGGTCTCTCTACGGCACTACGTTAGTTACGTCTGGTGCGATATTAATTGCCATCTTCGGGGCAATCCCCTCTCCAGCTCATGACCTCAACGAGCTGCTTGTTCTTTTGGCCCGAAAACCATTTGTTATTTGGATGATTCTGCAAGCCTTGTTTGTCGTGGCGATAGCGGTCATTATGGATGTTGTGAGTGTCGTCTCCAGCATCGCCTCAAATTCACAGTTCAGGCTGGTGCGCGGCATTGTTTACGGAGTTATCAGCGGTATTTTATCCGCACACTCGCTCCTTTTCGCCAAATCCTCTGTAGAACTAGTCATCAAAACAGTTGGCGGGAAGAATCAATTCATCTATTGGCAAGCCTGGATGATTGTTTTGGCACTTATTTCCTTGGCTCTTTGTCAGCTTTACTACTTGCATCGAGGTCTCAAGCTGGTCTCAACCTCAGTTTTATATCCTCTTGTTTTTTGTATATACAACATCATCGCCATCCTCGACGGGTTGATCTACTTTGACCAGACAGCGCTCATCTCGACACGCAGAGCCTGCTTAATCGCCCTCGGCACCGTTATATTATTATCTGGAGTTCTCGCCCTCTCATGGAGGCTCAGCGAGGAGCAGCATACCCCCGGAGTTGGACAATCATCGCTCGCGCCAGGCTTGGGACTTGTGGATGATACAGAAGGCGAAGAAGAATCACTCTTGGGGTCCGAGTCTGCGGTGGAAGAGGAGGCCCCTGCTACATATCATACGTTTGACCACAGGCATATTGAAACCACCCCTCTGACGCCAACACGCAAGAGAAGCTTCCGCTGGGCAGAGCGGGCCGAGATTTGGGGCGAACTGGAAGATCAGGACGAGCCGAGCACTCCCGTTGGGCGATTCCGCTCGATGACTCTCCCTGGCCGTGCTGAGTCAAGCCCTCTGCTTGCCCAGAACAGAAGAAGTGTCAGCAACATTCAGCTTACTGGGGAAACCAGTGCGAGCACCGAGTCAACGCCAAGGAGGTCAAGCCGCCGCCGGAGGAAGAGTACAGGCTTTCCCGGTCTTGTGGCGCGCAGACACATGAGGAAACGAACCAACTCGGTCTCAGGGTCGCTCAGCAGCATGCTCTCATTCAGGTGGTTGAAAGAATGGGGCGGCGGGCGACCTTCGAGCAGTTCAACCATGACTGGCGATGGTCCATCATCAGTTTCGGACTACCGAAATGAGGGCCAGGTTGAGAGAGTTGAAAGCCCAGAACCTGACAGGAGAGGTAATGATTCAATTGTATAGTAAATAGAGAGCACGGCTCTTGCAAACTTTGCTTTGAGCGTGCTCTGAATGCATATCAGCGGTTTACAGAAGACAGAAAGTATAAATGGCGAATAATGTGTGTAATCAACCTGCAAAGACTGTCTTCCAGACTTTGAAAAGTGATGTCATACCTATCTCGGTCATACGAGGTGCTTGCATCGCGTCGAAGTGATATTAAGCCAGACCAGTCACGACGAAGCCCATGTGCATAAACAACACGGTTGTACACCTATTGTTGCAGGGAAGGATCTTGCTTCCTGGCTCTTATAAATTATAAACCGCTCAAATGAACTCCCATCACTCTCAGTCGTAAATTTAGTGGTGCGTACCAGCGACTACCATTAACACAAAGTACCGGTACCTCCACTTCGCCGTACAACACAACCAAGCCCCAGTCTCCCAAGCCCAAAGTAGGCATGAACCTCTTTGATTTCCAAGAAACATAGTCCATAAATACCGTTATCCCGTTCCTATTTAGCTCGGGATGTCAAGAAGAAGTATATCTCGTCTTGTTCTTCGACTCTAGATACGCTTGCAGGTCCTCGGCGCGGATCCTCAACACGCTGCATTCTTCGCCTCGCTGATGAAATACCCAAACCGTCCACCATAAATACTGACACATTCCTTGCGCTGTGTGTGCCGAAATTGTTTTACTCCGAGAGACTGGTTTAATTAGTTGCACCTGTCTCATCCCGGCATCCGTTTTCAGCTCGCGTCTCGCCCAAGAGGATCTGGGGCTCTCGAAAACCATAGTTGCTCCCCTTTCTACAGCACATCATCTGGAACAGTATGGATCACTCCGACCACAGCATGGGGAGCGACTCGGGGAGCAATTCCACCTCGTCGGCCGGCCACATGATGATGACCTTCCAGACAGACAGCAGCACGCCGCTCTACTCGGACCTGTGGACGCCGAATAGCGGCGGCGCCTACGCCGGCGCGTGCATCTTCCTCGTCGTGCTGGCCATAATCGCCCGCCTCCTGGTGGCCTTCAAGTCGGCGCAGGAGACGCGGTGGGCGAACCAGGCTGCTGAGCGTCGCTACATCGCCGTCAACGGGAAAGAGCCATTGGCTGAGCGAATCACGCGGGACCGCGACGCCAAGCAGGTGGTCATCTCCGAGAATGGTGTAGAAGAGAATGTGTTTGTCGTTGAGAAGAAGACGCACGAAACGAGGCCGTGGCGGTTCAGTGTTGATCCTGTTCGTGCGGCCTTGGATACGGTTATTGTTGGTGTTGGATATCTTCTGTAAGTCTCCCAGGATTCCCCCTTTATAGAGGAGGCCGCTGTCAATGCATTTTAACTAGATACAATTGCTAACACTTCTGATCGCCTTTCAGCATGTTGGCGGTAATGACGATGAATGTTGGATATTTTCTGTCCGTCCTGGCCGGCGTTTTCATTGGAAGTCTAGCAGTTGGGCGATACTCATCTATCCCAGAGCATTAGATCTGGAAGTATATATATGCACGACCTCACGATTAAAGTCACATCATTCTAGCACAAGAGGCATTCCATGAGCGTCCTAAATTCAATATATCCATTCACCAAGTACCTTATTAATACGTTGACTCTGGCGTGTAGAATAATTAGGCTCTTGCCATCCAGATGAGCTAGATTGCGGGCAAGATCGAATGTACCGGTACTTGGGGAAACCTTCTCAAACGTGCTCATGTTCCTTCCAACGTTTGGTGCATTGCCGCTTACCGCATGGCCTGAAAGCTTAGTGGCTGGCCTGCCAATCATATCAAGCAGTGGAGACATATATATCCGTTCCACGCGCAACTCAATCAAAGCGCTCCAGAGGCAAATGCAGTTGAAACTCGAAGAGTTTACAGAGAGAAGATTGACGAGTTCTTCCATGGAGAGCCGGTGCTGGATGGTTTGGCGCTATTGCTCGAACTACCTACTTATTGGACGGGGTCTAGGCTTAGTAGAAGTAGAAATAGCGCTGAAAGTTAGCACAGAGGCATACAGAGCAGTCCCTTCAGAGTTCCAGTTGCCAGCCAACCTAAAATGCTCTTGGTCTCAAGTCTTTGCTCAATTGTCGTAAAATAACCTCGGTTTCCCGATTGCCTACATCAAATGACCCTCGTTCTCTTATCTCTTCAATGTCACTACGGGAAATGTAAAAACTGTGCACACGCAGACATATCTTACCTCATCCCATCCAAACGTTCCCCTACCCACGGTCTTCGCCAAGAGGATAGGCACGAAACAGCTGCTGGCAATAACAAACCCATCTTCACTTCTTCTACCTTTTTTTGCCCTCTCATCCTCGTTTTCTTCTTCGCCCCGACGCACAGCACCTTAAATTATCGCCCCTCCTGCCCTGACTCTCCCGGCCGCGATCCCAATCCAGAACAAGTTAAAGCACCAAGACAAACAAAGCAAGCCCAGTTTATAATATCCCCAAAGGAGTATCTGCCCACCCCCGGGAACCCGCGCCAACCGCTGTCCAAAAAACCTGGAGCTTCTTACTGTTTTCGGGCTCTCTGACGTCTTTCTCATCTGTTTCTTGATAGCTCCCCGCATTTTCTGCTTTATTAACATTCTCAGGGTCCTGCCAACGGGGGGGGGGGGGGCAAAAGAAGGTTGCTAGCTCCATCGCGAATACGGCATCCGCCCGCGACCGCTACCGTCCTTGCATGAATCTCGTGGACAACGGCCTCCCAAGGCTTCGTGCTGTGGCTTGTGCGTCCCTTTGCTACCTTAATACCGACGTCTTCGATGACTCAAATAGCTGGATCTTGCCATATGGCGGCATTTGATCCCCCACCTACCTCTTCGAGACCAGTTCCTGGTCTTGAGCTGTCACCGCATTGTATTATCAAGCATGCACGTCCCAATGTGTCTACACGAATACTGAAGTCATATTATCTAGGTCAAAGTCTGCACCCTCAGCCCTTGATATATGTGTCAGATCCAGTTCCACCCCCCAGCCGCAAAGCAAATAATCAGACACATTCATGCTATCGTAGTAATCATCCTTCCTTGCAATATACCATCCACGATGCACTTTCCTTGCAATAATATCCCCAATTCCACCCCCACACTGGCATAGCAGCTCCCAAGATATGAAAAAAATAGATCCATCCGAAGAAAAGAGTGAACAGACAACAGAATAGCAGAGAACTGTGAATGAAAGACGGAATCCTCGCGCCATGAGAAGGTGAGTGTCTCCTTTAAACGCCATCCTGCACCTGAATTTCAAGCGCAAAAGCGGACGCCGAAAACAATTCACCAAGCCCATTTTGTCTAGGAGCCGAAAGAGAGTTGCAAAGCTGATACCTTGGCGTGAGGTTCTGTGTAATTGCTATTCAGCGTTGCAACAGCTCGGGTCAAGCTGCTAGACTAGCCGTTCAAGGGTTCGAAAGAGGATGCTTTGAAGACACAAAGAGAAGAAGAGAGGCACAAGAATGAAATGGCATATCAACATCTTTTTAAAAAGAATCAACAAGTCTCCCTCTCGAAGCCTTAATATTGAGAGGAGACGAAGTTGATGTGTGGGCTGTTGAAAGCCGGGTATCGACGACCAGATCGGCTCAATATCATAATCATGATTGGTGGTGGCTGCTTGGTGGCATGCCAGGCTGGGGCATGCCGGAGCCGTAGCCCTGATTTCTCTGTACGTAACTCTGGTACGCCATGGCCTGTTGAGGGTCCATGGGGATGTTTGGAGGCATGTTGTACCCAGGTGGCATATGAGGGTTCTGGGGCATGCCAGGGCGGCTGCCCTGTGGAGGAAGATGTTGGTTGCTCGCAGACTCTTCGGGAGACTCAACCTGGTCGGCCGCGTCTACACCGTTCTCGTTTCCAGACGGCTCGGGAGCGTTCAAACACGCCTATTGAGAACTAATCAGTACGGTGAAACATTGGCAGGGCCGGTAGCAAGGGGACAAGACGCGCAAATACCAGGCGTGTAATCAATCGGAAGCGAAAGAACACCACGCGGTCGAGAGAGGGCTCTAAAAGAGGTTGTCACCTACCTGAATCAAGTTCTTGCCCTCGGCCTTGGTAACCAGTGGCTGAAGCTTGGGAGTTGTGAAAGTGTAGACAAGACCGGTCTCTGAGACGACGAGTAACAGGACTTGAGTCCCCGTCAACACGGACAGTTCGTATGCCTATAGACAATGGATTAGCTGTGATGCTCAAACTGCGTCGCGCTCGTGACGCGACGGGCTCCCGTCCACGCTGGGTTCTGTTTTCCCGTGAAGCCGCGCGGGACAACGCAACTTCGCGCGGGAAAACGCCCAGCGCGGTCTCATCGACGTGACTGACCTTCTTCATGATACCAGCTTTGCGTTTAGAGAAGGTGATGTGACGCCGAGACTTGTCGCTGATAAACTTGATCTCAATCTTGCGACGCTCGCGTCCTCCCTTCTCGTCATCGTCGTCGTCGTCGTCGCCGGGCGCGGGCCTCGCGCGCTTGATACCGCGGCTCTCCTGCGCGCCGCCATTGCCATTGCCTACCGAGTGCGAGTCGGCAAGGTCATTTGGTGAAGTCTGGTCATGCTGATCCGTGATGTCGGCCATGATTGCTAATCCAATCGACTGGTATCACACAGGCTGTAAAAGGCAAAAAGTGGTGGAGATACTGTTTTGAGCGTGGTGCCGATGGATCTATACTGAATCTGGAGACGAGCGGAGAGGGAAGGGAAGTGCCCTTTTTTGCGACAGAAAAGTTGGCCTTACTTTTAGGGGCGCACCGCCTGAGCCAGAAGCCGGGCTGAGGGTGAAAGAGAGAAAGGTGTGGGCGAGCAGGGTGGATGATTGGCAGGTGGGTACCGCAAGCTGCACCCATGCTGAAGTACTCGAGGAGGTCAGGAAGTGCCTGCCTGGAGGTACCTGCCCAAGGAGCCAGCCAAGGTGCGCTTATTCCAGCCCACACTCGGCGAATATTCCGCACACGTAAAGTCCTGTCTGCCTGGCTCGCCCTCGTAGAGGACTTTTTTTTACGTGCAATAGAAACGCAAGAAGATAGGTAGGGCATGAACCTCTTATAAGCAGACTGCCACATGTGTAACTTTGCTCAATCGCCTCCCAAAGACGCTTCTCTTGCGCCAATATATCCCAAGGTTTCGTAAAATAAAAAGCGAGAAGTAAAAGGCTACATAGTAGAAATCTGTCCAATCTCATGCGTGCAGCGGCGGAAAGAGGTATCTCGGGGGTTTGCGTGCACAGAGCAGGTACATTGTCCAGCTTACCTGCACTCACGAGCTTGAGTTTTAGCTATGTTAGGCCGCTAGCAGGCCTTGGAGCCAATGAGACGCGTTTATTTGGGGTAGGGCGGCTTAGGTGCCCACCCTGAAGTGGAGCCAGAGGAATGCTGGAAAGGCACCCCGACCGGCTTCTGGTGGAGCAAGAGTGCGACCACTGGGACATGCAGCGAACGGAGCGAGGGCTCGCCAAGGCCAAGGGGGCAGGAGGAAGGGAGGGAGGTTGGGCTGGGGCGGAGGAGGGGAGAACAAGACCATCAAAGGAACCTACGAGCCCACTCGCTCTTGTTCGCACCGTGTGAAATGGGATCCGCTAGGCACCCAGCACGTCTCCGCTGTGTCAAGCTAGAGAGAAGTGTGTATTATTGGTTTGGGGACCAAACATGTAATGGAACTCTGATAAGGTGCGTTTTAATTTGGTTGTCTCGACAGTCGGAAAACCGAACTGCAAGCCTGCTCCTTATACGAGCTCGCTCCTGCATGTCGCTCTATCGGGTCGTCTCTTGCCGAAGCCAAATGTACATAGTATGTTTTGAAAGAGGAGTGGCGTCTTGCAAGGGGAGAAACGCTGGACGTAGGCGTCTCGGTGTGTCACGCCAGTACCAGATGCTTCTCTACCGAGGTACATCTATCGCCTCGCTTCCACGGTCCTGTGTTACAGGCGGGTCAGACAGTAGAAGTGCCGCTTCGTTGATCTCGCCAATTGGATCCATCCACTAATAATAGCACACTTGTCAACAGCAGAGACTGTCAAACTGTTTATATTATGTACGAGAATATTTCTCAAGCTTTGACTTTCGGCCATGTAGACAGACTTTTTTTAGCCTCCCACCAACGGCGGCAAGTTTAATTGCTCCATAGCACAACAGGTCGGCGTCGAAATATTGGGACCTTACCCCTCTCGTGAGTCACAGGGTTTGCTCTACATCTGCATACCAACCTCAAAACAGAGCTCTGAAAAGCTCTGCAAACTGGCCAATCTTTCCTCCCCCTCGTCGGCGGCAGGCGAGATAGATATCGATACACACACTATATATATTGACTGAGCTGCTTGCTGCCATCCACCACCCAGAGGCTTCCACTGAGGCTCGGCCAACTCGTACGACGCGGTAATGTCTGACCTCGACGCTGGGCCCCATACAGTGCGTTACAGGTCGTCGTCGACAGTGCCGGTGTGCATGGATCATGCCAGGATCTGCTCCATGACGGTCCTGGGACTGTGCCACATACTCATACACTGCGGACACGCCATCGCTTCTCCATGACCCGCCTATCTCTCCAGGCCATCCGAGATCTTCCCCATCCCACTAGACACAGGGCAGCATTGTTTGTTACCCTATAACCGACATAATCAAATACCTAGCATTCAGATGCAGGGTCTTCGGGGTTAGGAGGGTTCCAGCCCCCGACGCGAGAACCGAGAGTGCCTGAGGGGCTGTTTGGTGTGCAAAATGACGACTTGGATGGACGAAGCAACCGTCCCCTTATGATGTCAGTGTGCCACTTAACGCTGTAGCAGGCCAGATTGGGCAGGATGGCTACTAGGCTGGGTGGTCACGCGTCAGGTGGCCATCAAGGCGACGGCGGAAGCTAGCTCGCCCTGAGCCGTGCAGAGGAGCGAGGAGGTGATTCAATTATCGAAATTCAAGGGACCTGATGGGCTGCCATTGCTAGCTGCCTGCAGGAAACACCAATCGAATCAACGATATGCTCGCTGTCCTCATGACGGATCCTGAAATTATCTTACCAATGGGGCTGGATACACTCCACATGGCGAACTTTTGCAGCTAAGCAAACAGGTACCACAGCTCTGAGCTCTCGTGAAGATGCTGAGGCTGCTGTTAGTGAGAAAAAAACTCCTCCACCTCCGCCTCTCCCCCTCCCTTGTACTATGCAGCTGTGTGCTTCCTCGATGAGTGGCCCACAAGCTCCCCTGTGTCTACATACATCCAGACCGGGTTCTACAAACGGGCACGGTCCCTGAGAGTTATTAATGTGACAGCCCCGAGATGACATACTAAAGACACTGACAACCCATGGCACTAGGCCGAGAACCCTGGCCAACAATGGGCGGGGACTTGATGAGGAGGAGGTCTTAAACGACAGCAACCCTTGGTCACATTAGTATGTACATGCTTTACGTTATCTATGTATGTATAACTTGTCATTTAATTACCTTCTGCACGACAGGCTACTATGTACATTCCATAGTAATACAGAAAGTGGGGTGAACCCTCCCTCGTGAGGAAACCAAGGATCGATGAAGGAGCATCGGCCAGAAAGTTGAGCTTGCTGACAACATGGCTAGCGCCCTCCTGGGCCCCGTTTTCCTTGTCAGAGACTCCGATCTCCTAGCCTGCTGCCATGGCTCCAAGGCGCGCAGAAACATGGCAAGGTCAGCAGCAGGGGGGTCGGCGGCCGCGGGCTGGAACCTGGGATGTATCCGGGGCGGAAAATGGCGATGCAGAGGGACACGGAGCAGCTTTGGGCCAGATGGGCTAGATCCCTACCCTACGGGGGAAAGCGCCTCTGCTCCCATTCACGAATTACAGCGAGCCTCGCTTCCTAGAATGGTTTCACGGGAGTGAGCACCTTGCTATAATACATGATAATACATGGGGGCGATCTTCCAGAGGAACCGCGCCCGGAATGTTAGGGCAGCACTTCCAGTTCGAGGCTGATCGACCGATGCATGTACACAATCGAGAGGGGGGAAGGGCTGAGATTGTTTGCAGCCGTCAGTCAAGCCAGGTGGAAACGCGAGAAATTGTGATGTGTCTCTCCTGGCCAGGCAAACATACTGGGATCGCAGCCAATAGCGAACGCCCTCGTGCTGCATGTTTATGGGGGAAGCTCGAATCCTGAACGCGGCCTCTAGTAGTACCTACCCTAGATCCCGCATTCGTTGTCCATGTTGGCCTACTAATTTGATGCGAGGTGAAGCATTCGTTCCTCGCTGGTATGCTTTTCCTCTTGGGTGTGTAGTAGATTTTCCACGTGTCGATTGTAGACGAGCGTAACCCAAGAGGGATCCGAGATGGCTGCTGACGGGCTGTCGCGTAGTAGCAGCACTGTGCTGATGTCGGCCATGAGTCAATCGGCAACAGGAGGCCAACGCTACTAATTGAGCTGACCGACATCCAAAGGCGAAACGCTAAGATGCATTAAAACACCAGAGGCTTGCTTATCCAGACACCGCTGGATGCATTCTGAGACCATTGTCTCTCATTTCTGCACGCAGAGACAGAAGGATCGCCACGGAACAAACCATGGCGGTGGGATTCGACATCGAGCGCCTGCGTGCTGGCACACCCGCCGAACAAAGTACTGTTCTGAAGGCCGCGCTGGCGGAGAACCTCGAAACCAGCCCATCACAACTCACAGACATTTTGATATCACACGTCAAAGAAGGTTCAGTCTCGCCTTCCGTCATCCAAATTTGGCTGGGAGTCGCTCGGTCGCCGATTGTCGCCGTGGACGTTACCCAGAAGTGCCGGGGCAGTTTGGCCTGGCAGTATGGTGTCAAGTCTCTGTTCAAATATATCTGCAATGAGGCAACGTTTAAGCCAACATGGAACTCGATTGGCGGAGCCCAAGGGCTCGTGAGTCTCATGGCAGAGCTCAGCCTCAAGGATATCCGGGCCCTCTGCACAGCAATACAGAAGACGGCGAAATCCGCTCCTGATAATTCGCCCCTCCGCGCTGAGCGGCAGGAGCACATGTCTGAGCTCCTCCAGCTGCTATGTTCGAAAGACAGCAATCCTGACCAAAGACCACTCCGCTCCGTTTATGCACGCATAGCTCCCGCCTGTACGCCTGCGGTGGCCCAGGAATGGGCTACAAAGATAGAGCAACGTGAGGTTGAGGACGCCACAGGTGCTGTTATCCGCGGCCTACGAGAGGCACACTGGGATGTTTTCAGACAGACAACCTTTGAAAAAACATTTTCGGACGGCTGGAGATTGGATCTTAAGCCGCTCAAGCCATTCTGTGACCGGGATTTCGATTTCCTGCTTACGGTTGTCCAGAAGCTCTCAGAGTTAGATTCCCTGCGTGGGCTTCCTCCAAGCGAATTCCTCACGTTCGTTGCTCCATTTGCTCGTCGAGCTTCAAAGCTGAAACAGCATCTGGCTCAATTCTGGACTTTGATCAATGAATGTTTGAGAAAACATGACTCGCTGAGGGCACAAATACTTCCATGCAAGACGATGTGGCATAGACCAGCTGGCCTGATCTCCCCTGCCCTCATGGCATGGAGGCATGATTCAAACAATGGCTATGGGGATGATCATCTTGCTACTTTGATTGGCTTCATCC